AGAAAGGAGAAGGAACAAAAATGAGAAGGAAGGGTCTGCAAGGAGCAGAAAGGGTCTGCAAGGAGCAGGGGCAGCAAGGAGCAGGAAATGTCTGTAAGGGGCAGGAAGGGTCTGCAAGGAGAAGGAAGGGTCTGCAAGGAGCAGAAAGGGATAGAAGGAATCAGAAGGAGCACAAAGGTAAAGTATGATAAGGAGCAGAAAGGGACAGCAAGGGGCAGAAAGGTAAAGTAGATGAAGGAGCAGAAAGGGTCTGCAAGGAGCACAAAGGAATCAGAATGAGAAAAGAGCAGAAGGGCACAAAATAAGAAGAAAGGTAAAGGAGCAGAAGGAGCCAAGGACAGAAGACAGTGTCAGAAAAAAAGAAGACTGTCAAATGAAGGAGAAGAAAAGGAGATTGGAGCAGGAAGGACAAATGAAGTGAACCCTCCACTTTATTCTGGACACCACATCATAAGGCTTTGGTACCTGGGCCTGGCAGGGAAACTCTGGACCTTCTCATCTCCCCAGGTAAAAGAAAATATCAGTGTTCACTTTTATTTACTGAGTGTCAGAAAGCACAGAGTGCCGCTGGGTAGGGGTGTTGCTGATTGGCTAGAGCAGTCAGCTGGCACTCTAAGCCAATCAGTAGCTCCCCATTCATAAAAAAGTAAAACATTTTTATGAACCGGGAACTAGCGATTGGCTTAGAGCGTCAACTGTCCACTCTAGCCAATCAGCGGCACCCATGCCTGGCACTCCGTTTCAGAAGCCGAATACCACTGAGCGACCTGGAGCTGGAGGAAGTCTTTGGCGTTAAACCATTTGAGTGCGGTTTAACCCCTTAAAGGAAAGAGAGCACCCAGGGGCTTCCTTCCATCATAGCATTTTCATTTAGATGAAGTTGTTATGGTGACCAGAATGTTCCTTTAATTTGCTTAAAGGAACACTATAGTGTCAGGAATACAAACATGTATTCCTGACACCATAGATGTGAAAACGCTATTCACCCTGGCTTTATGTGATAATGACTATGCTCCTCCCCTTCATGACACTGTGAAAAAGGGACCAAGCATGGATGTCATTACAATTATGCCCCTCTCCCCCCACCCTGGAAAAATTCCTGCGGACACCCCTGACTGTATGCCCTTGATTCCATTGATGCCAATAATCAAATCCTCAGTGTTGGCACTCTCTCCATAGGCTATGTACTCAGATCTGAGGAAGCTGAGGTGTCGGCAAAACGAATCACCGCACCCTACGTTTCCTGGTTCATCAGAAGATGACTTTTAACAAGAGGACCATAAGGGAAGCTGAACTGGAGGGGTACAGAGCCTAGAGAGGGTTTACCTACCTGCTGCAGGTTTTAATCAGCTTGGAAAAAGGTTTTCCACAAATGTGTTGCAGTCTCTACACCTTTTTACGGTTAGAGCAGACTTTAACTGCTCTACACTTGTGAGTGATATTCCTATTTTTACACTATTATGTGCTATATGGAATAGCATAGCTAATATATGGGAAAATATATATATGAAAGTAAATTGCTAAACTGTATTTTTGCATAATTATGGTAGCACTTTATTATTTAATGTATTTTGCAGTGTTGCCCATTATAAGTTTGAATTGGACGCACTGCATTTTAATAGAAGTTTAGGTATATGTAACTTTATGTAATGCACTTTTGTTTGTAGCATATATGCACTTGCATATGGTTGATGCTACAGCTGATATACATTAATAGTTTGTCTTAAAGACCCAGCACGCTTTCTTTTTTTCTTTTTGTATTTGTGTGTTTTGAGCTTTTACACATTTTAAGGTGCAGCTTTGTATAGCAATATTAGTGAAATATTTTTTAGCGCCATACTTACTTGTTTTACTCTTTATATAAATCAGTTATGTTCTGGCTCCTTGTTGTGGTCGTGAATTAAATATGAATATTAATCTTCTAATATTTAATAATTAAGTAACAAGGAACAACATTAATATTGTTTTACAGTTCGTGGTATTATGGTCAAATATGTGGATAGAAAATACACAAAACGTTGTAATTAACTATAATAAATAAACAGATGCTAGCAGAATGTCAATTTACTACAATAATTATACAGTACAAAACTACAACATATTACTTACAGTTGCTAAATGTTGCAATGGATTCATATTACTTACTAGGCCCCAGCAGAGCTGGTACTACATCTTCAGTCAGGTAAAAAAAAAAAAAAAAGAGACCTCCTACATCTGGTTTTTATTCAGTGTATTCCTAAATAGCCTGGCCTGTGGTGTCACTGCCAGAAGCACATTTCTTCCTACACACTGCCCCTAGTGGTGTCTCCAATTATTACACTAACTATGCTTTCTTTACTATGTAAAGTAATTAAATAATAAATACCATTACACTCCTGCTCCAGAAATTCAGCAGTCAACAAAATCATGCGTCCTACTTCTGTTTTGTGTGTTTTTCTATCTGTCTTTCCTTCTTCAAAATTGGATTCCCTGATTTTTGTACTTGGATTTAACTACCTGTTTATGAATTGTTACTGCATGCCCTAACCATCAGATTGGATTAACCATGTTATTACATGAAATTGCTTGAATTAACACTTTGAATTTTTTCTCTTTCCCTTTACAGACCTGGCTGCACCTTTGGGTCTCCTGGGGCACCATGTTTCCAAAGGTGTTCTGGTTTCTGCAGCTCTTGGCTTTGACAACAGATCTCCAGGGGAGTTTTAGAAACCTTTATCACTTCCTAAAGCTCAAATTCTATAAAGTGAAGTGATCAATACTGAGACGTCTTAGGCGTATTATCCTGTCACACTGCATATTTTAGTATAAATATTTACTAAATTAGCATCCTCAACACATTTGTTCAGGAACATGTATAATGACAGAGGAAAATGATTACGAAACAAACATACAGTAAAAATACCAATATTGCAACAATAAAAACAAAAATATAAAGAAATTAAAAACCTTAGACATAAGGAATCCACAGAAGCACATTTACCAGTTCATTTTCAATATGTCATCCTATGTTTCGGAAGTTAGCCTAGTACAAACATTCTTATTATCCTTCTGAACACTCACTCTCCAGTCATGGTAGCAGCTGTTAAAAAAAACATTGTCTCCGTTCAATCAGAAAGGCAAAGCCTTGCCATTAATCAGTCTGCATGGGCTGAATGTTGCACTCATCTGGCAATCTGGCACTCTAATCAGGTTACTAAATAAAGAAAGAAATATAAAGAAAGAAATATTCTTGTCCGTTATGCTGTCTTTCTCTTAAAGGACCACTCTAGGCCCCATAACAAGTTCATCTCCACTGAGTTGTTATGGAGTCTGGAGGTCTGGGACAGCATCTTACCTGAGCAGGTTAAAATATGTTTGAATGGTTTAACCCAAAATTGTTTTGATTCTGCCTGTCTGCTCTGCCCCTCTGCTGTACCTTTCTAAAGCATTTATCTCAATGGGTGTCCAGTGATAGGCTAAGAGTGTTAGCTCAGACTCTCAAATCTTTCGCATTGGTGCAGGGGCCAAAGAAGGGGACAGAAGAGCCTTTCAGAGGGCACTGTCAAGGCAACTTTGGAGTTAAAACATTCGATAAAGGCCCTAGACCTCCAAACCTCATGCCTTCATTAAGACGGAGTTGTTATGAGGCTTGACGTGGTCCTTTAAAAGTGCTAGATATGTGAAATGAACTTGCTCACATGTACTGAGTGATGGAGGAGAGGGGCGAGAGACAGGGCTGCAACCACACACCGTAATATCAGTATAACATTTCACTTTGCTCATTGATAAATGGCGAAAGAGATCTGACATATCCTATAAGGACACCTTTTCCTATATCAGAAAAATATTATAATTGCCCTCAATATCTCTTGAGTTTGCCACATTGTCAACACGTAGCTATGTCCTTGATGGATATCTAAGGGGGCATAACCCTCATGTCAGTATATCATGTTATACCGTATTCATATCTTCTTAAATTAACCTAAGAGAACTCATCTCCACATTTATCATACTCTACTTTTCTAATACTTGTCTGTAGAATTTTAATATTTCTGTCTGCTCTGTAGAGAATATCCAACGTACGCCCTCAGCACATTTCCTCCTCAAGTCTTTTTTCTAGTGTGCAATGTCTTGCCTCCTTGTTCTATAATTGCAAACAGGCTCAGTCTTGGAGAGCAGACAAGAGGTTTCCAGATATATAAATGTCAAATTCTTTTCTGGCTTGGAATTCGATGTGGAAACAGTAAATTTTCTTTAGCCACAGCAGGACACAACTGAACCGTTCTCACATAACTTTCCATCTCCCACTTCCCCTCAACTCCTATCCTTTAATCTCTGATTTCCAATTTACCTTTTCAATTCCTTGTCAGTTTCTTGCTGATAATAACAATTTTCTCCAACATGATATAGATGCAATGCTCAACCAATAAGCAAGACATATTAAAATGAAAGAGGGAGCAGCAGGGGATCGGAAGCAAACGTATATTTTTGTTATTTTCCTGATGAATAACACAATAGTAAAAATAACTGCGTAAAAACCATAAATACAAGTACAGTCCAATAAAAATATGAACAGTAAAAAATGTCTGTTTTCAGTGTGCTTTATTTAATGATAGCCCTGCTCGTGGACAGTAATGAGGGAATGGTTAGTTTCCTACCACTAACTAATGCTCCTGCATACACCCATATTATGCTATTATGGATACTAATAGCCATCATAAATAAAAATATATATTAAAACAAAGAAGACAAAAACAAAACATCAGGAGGACACAAAGGCAATTATTAGGAACCAATATTACATTGGGCTGTACTCCAAAGGAAAACATGTTGAGACCTCCCAGAGGATCCACCCTAAACACCAAATTGGTTATTTAACGGAGCTCCAGTACTCTGACCGAGTACCTCCACCAAGTCTGCTTCCTTGTAGCTATCAGGGACCCTGAAGAACTTCAGACCCAGATGCCGAGGCTTGGCTGGGATCATTTAGGGCCTTTTCCACCCTGGACCAAACACCAGATGACACATGGTGAAGGTTAAACAGCAACTCTTTAATGTATACAGCACACATAGTTTAAGCCCCCAACAGCCTCATTTACATACAATAGGTTACATAGATTACTATAGTACAAGGAAGGGTGGGGTCAGAAAATAGCAAGGGCTGATGGGAGATTGAGGAGGGACAGAACAGCTAGTTTAAACTGGTCTTGCAGTGTCCCTGGGACAACGCCCTGCTGGGGAAACAATAAGACAGGAAAAAGGGGGAAGGGGGAGATGCACAGACCAGCAATACATGCAACATACCCTGCACAAATAATAGGCACAATGTGACAAAACACAAAAAAAATTTGGGAGCCTACCCATAGTGTCTGTCTTCCATCCCCGTCACAGGTTATTTCGCCTAAATTTTGCCATTAGATTTTTAATTCACTGTCTAGTAAGCTCATCCGCATGAATCCTCACTCCCTCCCCCGGTCCTCCCCGTACCTCTTCATTTTTACAACCCCACACCCCTTTCAATTGCATCAATCTTCTTATCACAGGGTTTTGAGTCTTCTTTTCCATCATCCTCCTACCCTACCCTGTATCTCATTCCCACCAACCCTTCACACTCCAATATGACCAGATCTTCAAGAACCTCATTATCTCATCAGCCTCACCTTTGTGTTAACTCTGCCTTTTATCCACACAACATTACCACCACCCCTCCCCATACATGGTGTCAAGAAACAGACAGATAAAGAGAGAGAGAATAGAATAATTAAGATGCAATTTGGAATGTTTTAATAAAAGCAGACAAACATGTTTGTTTACTGAACAGTTCATAAAAGGGAGAAATGTATAAAATTTAAATTTATTGCAGTACCAAAAACTGCTTCAAACAACCCTATACAAAGACACACTATGTAAAATGCTAAAAGATGGGTTCTGCTTTCCTTGTTATCAATCTGAAGACAGGGTGCTCTTAGAAACCAATTTCTCATATGTTTTGCATGTCTTTCCCCGTGGGGGATAGGTAAATGAAAAACTGAACACAATGTAGCCTGACCTTTTGACCTGCAAATTCATCTGTAAAGTAAAATAATGTTCGTGTCACGCAGAAGACTTTTTCATCTCTGCACCACGTAGACTGTGTCTAACACTAACCCCATTAAAATGTAACAATGTATAGGGCATCTAAAATACTTTACAACCCCTGCTTTAGCATTATAATACAGTGCAGGGGAATTTGTTGGCGCTTTATAAATAATATTAATAATACTGTCCTAAATGAGTTGATCAAGTAGGGCAGTATTATTATTATTATTACTGTTGTTTACTAAATAAGTTTTAGCAAATCAAATCTGAATTGCAAAATTTTGGTAAGAATAACTGATCTGATACATTTTTCAACTTAACTCTAGTCTCTAGTCTAGTCTTCAATCTTCAGTTTTACCATTCAGATTTAATTAACTAAATTTTAAGAGTTTAATGAATATGTCTTTTCTGTAACGCATCTGTTATGTCACACACTGAGCCAGGTCTTCTTCTCGCAACCTCATGTCCCTTTTCTTACATTGTTTAGCTAACTTGAACTCACAGAGATCAGCATAAATTTAACTACATTTGTTTTCTTGTAGACTGAAGTCCCTTTTGTTTGCTTATATTACATATTAAGTGTTCTAAACCTAGTGCTGCTATCAGACAGTAAACTAGACTTTCGTTCCCGAGAAAAGCCAAATCCATGTTAATGAGCTGGGTAATGTATCTGTAAACCACTTGCAGCAACGTCAGCCATCCATCATTGAACAAGACCACCTATTAATTAAGTGCTTGCAGATGGGATGATTATATGAAAATAGTTAAGCATTTTAATGCATTTGACAATAATCATTTCTAAAAACTGACCTTAATGCACTCACTTTTATAATCATTCATAATGTCTTTTCCCGAAAATAAGACATCCCCCGAATATAAGCCCTAGCTTATTTTGGGGGGATGCTCGTAATATAAGTTCTACTCCAAAAATAAGCCCTAGTCGGCGTTTTTGTGTTTATTGATGCTGACTCATACTAAATGTTTACCACACCTGTACAGACACCTATATTTACAACACGTATCTAAACAACCAGATCAGGCAGAGGCCGTTTAAAATATATGCTTAAATGCCTGACCCACCACCTTAAGCACGGCATAACCTTCCAGACAACATTACATAACATGTCACTACCATGTTTTCCCATAAAAAACTTCCGTACGTTGTCATACAGTGGCATCCACAATAATGCCCCAGCCTGCACTTAATAAAATCCCAGCTTGCACTTACTAACGCCCCAGCCTGCATTTATAAGGCTCTTAGCCTAACCACGCACGAACGGTGCCCTTTTGATATGGCTGGCAGGAGCTTTGAGAGAGGCCCCACTCATTTAGATATATTAATTTCCAAACAGTATAACATAAGCACAATCCTTTTTACATCGCCCATACGCTCACAACCTATAATGTTACAATATAAACATGAGCTACACCTTTCACATGCTGACTAATTGTTAATAAATGTTGGGTATCATGCTGGTCAACACTGTTGGGACATGACGAGCCCACCTGATCTTTATTTCCATGCACACCATAATATGACATTGCACATAGCTATTACATGTTCCTGCCTATTAAGCAACGCCTGCCCTGGCGTCACTTTGATATGCCTGTTTTGTTCTCTTTCAGTAAATTTCTTTTGTTAAATCTTTTTGGTTAAATCGTGAATTTCTCACTCAAACAAAAACAAAGTGTAACGCATAACAAATATGTCACCAGAATTGTCTTTATTTGCCTACTACTGTAATCTTATGTGACCACCTTGACAAATGTACCTACTTTTGCACTTACAAAAATAAAGAATTAAAAAAATATATATATATATATTTAAACGGAAAAATAATCAAAACTAATATTTAAGAGCTTTTTATATGAGTTATCTCACTCAGTGGTTAGTGCTCCAACTGCATTAACGTAATCAAACTGCAGCTTAAATTCCTAACATGATCAGTTCATCTTTCATAATTCCAAAGTTGATAAAATGAGTAACATTCACACAGACGATAACATCTAGATCTCAGAAAGTACTCGAACATTAGTTAACGTTAAGTATGACGTTCACGGCTAAATATTTGTTATTAATATTATCATTTATAGCATGATTTTATTCAGTTACATTATTCCCATAAAAGTATTTATAGAAGGCAGTTATGAAAAATATACTATAACTTTGTTTACGTTCCCATTCCATCTATCAGAGGACTCTCTCAGCTGACTGGGTTTGTTTGCTAAACTCCCAATCAGAGCAGGATTAAAAATAAGGCAACCCTAGGTGGCTACCTAGGGCCCAGGGATCGGACAGGGGAAACCATGAATTTGCTTGGCATTTTTACCATCCTTATGTGAAGAATAATGGAGGTGAGAAAACTGGTAACTTGTCTAGGGGATTTTTTAATCCTTCTCTGGTCCCAATGACAGGAGGTCATATTATTTTTCATTAAAGGGCTGCTTAGTAGTTAAAGGGACGCTATCAGCACCTAGAACTTGTAATCTTAATGAAGAGATCTTGATGACATTCCCCTGCTCCACTATTTCAGTCAGATAGTCTCATAGAGACCGTCAAATTGGCGCAGTGCCGCTCATGCACAGTAGCCTACCAATATTTTCCTATGGGAAAGCTTTAGATTGGTTGAGATCACCAATTTCGATGACCTCAATTAAAGAGGAAGAACAGCATGCCAGAGACCAGCGCTGCAAGAAAAGGTAAGTAAACTGACCTTTTTAAACCTTTCAGGGTTGGGACGAGTTTATTTAATTATGCTTTTCTCTAATTCCAATACTTACAAGTTATTTACTAAAGCGAGAATTGCTGGCAATTCAAAGTCAATTTAAAAATAGCTGAACTGAAAACATTCTCCAAGCCAATTATGTTTTCAGTTCAGCTACTTTGGCCTTAAATTTGAAATTCACTTGGAATTCGCTTTTAATTCCTTGCAAATTCTTAGTGAATAACTCTGTTAATGTTTATTCTATGGATATAAAGGTAGCAAGGTACAGTGTAGCAATATAGAGTTTTATTAATTGCTTTATTTTTGCTTAGACATCAATGAATATCTTCAGCATCTGTGAGCACAAAGCACACCTAACAAATGCCTGGATACAATTCTCTCATTTGCATTACATATTCATATTTAGCAAAGGTATCCATACAGTTTAAACAAACAAGTGTTCCATTTATACATGAAATCTCATACTAAACAGCAATGGTATTGCAAAGCTGCAAATAAACATCACAACGATGTGTCTAATATCGTACATTGCAACTAATTGGACAGTATGAACTGAATTATTTGCAAATACACAGCTAATGGACTTTCTCTCGAATCTTGGAGTTACGAAACAGTTCCCTTTGTAATAAAATATCCCCCAATATCCCCCAAGCCAGACTGAGCCATTCTCTATTCTTCAACCCATTGCCTGCTGCTGCTTTTGCATTTACTGGTCAAAAGTCATGTCAAAGGTTTAAAAGACAGTCAGTGGCAGTATGGTGAATACGTGACCCTGATGATACCTCACTTCATTGATTACCTATCAAAATAGTAAATAAATTAATAGTCTGAATTAAAAATATTACCCTGGGCATTGGTATTTAACAAATAACAAAGCCAAAGGAACAAATGTTTTAGAAAGTTGTGCAAATTCTGTCTTTTACCTAAAAAAAATCTTATTTTTCTCATTTCTGTATTTTTGTCATGGCATTTTTATATCAGCGTGTCTTCTTGCTGTTTAAATAGGAAAGAGTACATGTTCCATTGAAATTGCTATATGTCACCGCTGCTGTTTTAGTGACTTACTGCCGACAATAATATGATAATATTATGGCAGATTATATACTTGCTAATATACAAAGCATGACTGCTACTTTACACTAGAACATCTTGAAGGAAACCAACGTTCACGAAACATCATATTAGTGGGAGAACTAATAAAGAGATGGCTCTGATACAAGAAACTTTTTTATCCCCTCTTTAGGGCAAGATGGCCAAAAGGTTGAGCCTAAATTGTCATGCAGCTCCCACGATGTTTTACCAACTATGGGTCTACCATTAGCCCATCCTTGCAGGGTTTAAATGGATGAACGGAAACATTGCATGGATATGGTGCTTAGGGTGACCCTTAAAAATGTTTTTTGCTGGTGCTGAATGACCTTAATATTA